GAAGGAAGGAAGGAAGGAAGGAAGGAAGGAAGGAAGGAAGGAAGGAAGGAAGGAAGGAAGGAAGGAAGGAAGGAAGGAAGGAAGGAAGGAAGGAAATAAGCCCTTTCGAGACCACAGAAAATTGCAAAAGGATGTTTCTTCCAACCCGACATGACAAAATTGAATTCCAAGCTATTTAATGCATGCACGAAACGCCATAGAGGAACCCAGCCCGAGCACTCTGTCCAGCACGACAGGGAAAGGGGTTCGGAACACAAGCATCGCTCCGGCACCAACTCAGTGCTGCCAGCTCCGGACTTCCAGGCGATTCCACTTAAATGTAACTACCGGGTTAAGGGTTCTCACAGACAGGGCTGTCGCCAGCATTTCCATGGACACACAGCTACGGGAACACTGCGGTTATGATCACACGAACGATGGAGACCTCGGGAAGCCGCTGTCCCGGGGGTTTGGTTGGAGCCCCGCTCAGTCCGCAGGGCACCGGGGCCGGGGTCCCAGCGTGGCCCCGTCCCCTCCCCGCCGGGGGTCCCACTCCCACCGCGGGCGCAGCGGCGTGGCCTGGCCAGTGGCATTTCAGGAGTGAAAAACCAGCCCCACGGGCGGGGGCACGGGGAGCCTCTGGGTTTGTCCTTAAAAACGGGGTTTCACAGGTTACACCGTCACGAGGGTGATGCCATGCAGCCTGCCCACGGCCCAGCCCGCCTCAGACCGGCGTGGTTCGTCTGTTGGCCGGGTTGTTGTGCAAAGACTCCTTGAACTCTTTGGGGATGGAGTTATGGACCTGTAAAAAACCGTGGTCCCGCTCCGAGTTGAGCAGCGTCCCCATGGTGACCTTGGAGGGATCCCTGGAGAGGGTGAACATGGAGATGTCGGTGGAGGGGATGGTGCTGAACCCTTTGCTGATGGGCGACATGTCCCGGGAGCGGGGCTCGGTGGAGCGGGAGCTGGACCGCCGGCGGAAGCGGTACCTGTAGGGGGGGAGGCGGGTGAAGGCCGACCTCTTSAGCAGCTCCGAGTGGGACCTGGCGCGGATCTGGCGGTGCTTCTCGATGTACATGTGCACGGCGATCACCCCCACCATCTCGGCGATGATGAAGGACAGCGCTCCGAAGTAGAAGGACCAGCCGTAGGAGTAGCTCTTCTTGGAGTCGCTCTGCCCCGGGTCCCCTGCGTTGGCTGAGATGTACACTATGATCCCGATGATGTTGCTGAGACCTGCAGCGGGGGACAAGAGGGACAGGGGTGCTCACCTGAGAGGCAGGAGTGGATGAGGGGATGTGTCCCTGTGGGGCAGCACCCYTCTGCCAGCACACTTGGGTCAAATCCTCTTGCAGACCTCTGCCCATGTCCCAGGATACCTCTTACTCCCTTACACCCGGTATTCCTGTGTATTCCCAGATATCGGAAGGGAAGCAGGAATAACCACTATTTTGTCTGGAAAGGGGATGTTTCAAGAGCTGATGTGCTTTGCTTTGCTGAGCAGTGAACACAGGAGGGTGGCTGGAGCTGTGCACCAGGGCCATGGCCCCAGCAGAGCCAGCCAGAGTGGCACAGGGGGACTCCCCCAGCATGACCCCCAGCTCGCCATGGCCCCCAGAGCACAGGGAAGCTGGAATGGCTCTGTCTCTTTCCCATTCTGGTGGAGTCCTGAGGGTTTGTTTGGGACAGGGGTGGCCCGTGCCCCGCCAGCTGCCCGCGGGGCTTTGCTGCAAGGCTGGGAGAGGCTGGTGCATTCCCAGATTTACTTAATGAATCGATTATGTTYTCTCTGCTGTTTTCTCATCTGCATCAGCAGCTCCTGTCAGCCAAGGAGGGAGAGTCATTTGTCTCTTTGTGGGGAGAAGAAAAACACAAAATAGAGCAGTTCCTTGAGACAAAGACATTGTCAYGCAATAATCAGGGGAAGCGTTGGGGAACAGGCACAGAGAAATGAGTAATCCAGCAGGAACGGCCTCTCCAGAGATGATTTCCATGTGGGACTGTGGCAGCCCCTCTGCCTGGCCCTGCTGCTGCCCCCACGGTGCTCACTGCCTGTYTGGGATGGAGGGCAGAGCCCCCAATCCCTGCCCCAGTACCCCCCAGTGGAATGGCCACACTCCAGGAGCCTTTCCTGGGCTGCAGCCCCACACAGACCCTGCTCGAGGAGAGCAGTGGTGACACTTGGAGCCCTGTCTGGCACAGTGACCATGGCCAGAGACYCCTGATGGCTTCTCCCTGCAATGGGGGGATTTTCCCACAGGGATGGAGCAGCTCTCAAACCTCAGCACCTTTCTGTGCTGATGAACCAAGAGGACCCACAGCCCATCCCCACTCCCCCGTGTCCCCCCAGGCCGGAGGAGCCACCCAGGCAGCTCCTACCTGCAGAGACGAAGAAGATGCCGGCGCTGAGGATGACGTTGTGTTTGCTCTTGTAGAACTCGCTGGCGGCCACGCACAGGCCCCCGAAGAACAGCAGCCCCACRCTGAGGATGGGGAAGATGCTGGACGCTCTCACGGCACCTGTGGGATGGGGARAGGGGCAGGATCAGCCCTGGAACCCTCGGCACCAACACCAGCACCAGGAAGGGTCAGTGCAAGGGCACCCCTGGTGCTGCCAGGGCAGGTGGGGGACCCAGTGCCAGACCCCACCATGCATCCTCTGCTTCTCGTGGAATTCTGGAATGGCCTGGGTTGGAAAGGAACTTCAGATCATCCAGTTCCACACCCTGACATGGGCAGGGACACATTCCACTATTCCAGGTTGCTCAAAGTCCTGTCCAACCTGGCCTTGGACACTGCCAGGATCCAGGGGCAGCCACAGCTCCTTTGGGCACCCTGTGCCAGGACCTCCCCACCCTCACAGGGAGGAATTTCTTCCTGGTGTCTCTGCTGTCCCTGAGCTGCTCTGAAGCCCATCATCATCCCTGCAAACTCTGTGATTCTAGCCACAAAAATTCTGAAATTCCTTTTTTCAGCTTCCTGGGTTACATCAAGGAATTGTCTTCCAGCCTAGTYACACAGTCAGCACCAGCAATTTACCTTCCCTTTACCAAACACCAGCCTTAGGTTTTGGCTGGAGTCTGAGATRGCAGAAATCCCACAGATCTCACAAGGCTGGTGAGGAACTGCCAATCACATGGTCAGGAGCCTCTCCCAAGGGGCCCAAACTATCACAACTGCTTTRGATGTAAAAATTTACAAATTAACATACCTCAATGTCAACAAAAAGTAATTTTCTGATGTAGGGGAGGAACATTTTCAAAATGAAGAGAATGCCAAGGTCCCAGAACCCAGCCTACACAATGCTGTGACCCCMGTGCTGGGCTCCATCCCACAGCACCAGCACTGGCAGCAGTTACTGACCAGGCACTATACAAAAAAAAAAGGACTTTCCTACGTGGATGAGCTTCCAAAATGACAGTAGAGAGTAATGAATGCAGCAAATCACTACCTGCTGCACCAAAAATACACTGTGCCTTGGTTTGGGCTCTCATCCCTCGATTAGGGCCATTATTAAAGCACAGAAATACAGAGAAGCATCATTAAAATTCCACTCTGGGGGCTTTAAAATAGACTTTTTACTTAAATGTGAGAGGGGGTGGGAGAACTTCAACACTAATCTACTAAAACTGCAAAGCCATTTCATTAAACTCACTGCCCTCTCCGCCAGGTGAGCAGAGCTGTGGAAATGTGAGAGTCCAGAGGAACACCTGGCTGGGCAGCAGCTGGGTCACTCGGGGGCTTGGAGAGCCAGGCAGTGGGCAGTGAGGAAGTGGTGAGGGTGGGGAGGCCCTGGCCAGAGAAGCTGTGGATGCCCCTGGATCCCTGGAACTGTCCAAGGTCAGGTTGGATGGGGCTTGGAGCACCCTGGGACAGTGGAAAGTGCCCCTGCCATGGGAGAAATGGCACTGGATGGGCTTTAAGGTCCCTCCCAACCCAAACCATTCCAGGATTCTGTGTGAAAGCCTGCAGTTCTGCCCTGGAGCTCTGCTGGCCCCTGAGACAGGAGGACCCACTTTTCCCAGGAGAGCTGCCAGTTCCATTTCCCGCTGTCTCGCTGTGCTTGACTGCCACCATCAGAGCTGCGCTGTCCCAGCACATCCAGCCTGGCTGGAGACTCAGGGCTCAGGGACAGGAYACAAACACGTGTCCCTGGGGTGCTGCACCACGGACCTGCGGGGTCCCAGTGCCCATGGGGGGACACCACAGGCTCAGGCTGTGCAGCAGCTGCTGGGACCGGCCATGGGGACAACCATTCACAGGTGGCACTGCAAGGTGACAYGGCCATGCTCAGGTAATCTGGAGGGTCCCTGCTGTGGCTGTGACTGCTCAGCCTCCTGCTGGGTGAAGCTGGGGGACAGGGAGGGGGTGCCCTGCAGGGTGTGAGGGGTCTGGGGATGTGTGCCACAGGGAGCAGACTCACGGAGGAGATACTCGGCCGTGTCTTGCTCGTAGTCGGCATCCTCAGGGAAGTGGTCGATTTTCTTGCACACTCCTCGGAAGGTTCCTGGGGAGACACAAGCCAGGAAAAACTCAGAACCTTTGTGCTGGCCAGGATGTGCAGCAGCCTAGGGACCTTGATGTCCTGAATGGGGACAGTGTGGGACTGCTCTGGAGTGGCAAGGGGCAGGGTGAGGTGGGAGGAAGTGCAACATTGCCCTAGAGAAGCGCAGCCCTGGCACCAGCCAGGCTCTGGAGCATGTGGCCAGGTCATGATGGCTCCATCCCTGCTGCCAGGGGCCCAGGAAGGACACACGGTCAAGGACCAGGGCTCCAGGCAGGACAAGCCAACCCACCCGGGGTCCCTCACAGTGGCACGCTCCCAGGCTGCGCTCGGGGGAGCTGAGCAGCATGACAGGCATCAATTAAAGCCTGGAGATGAAGCTCTGGAGGAGGCAAGCTGTCATCCAGAGGGAGACACAGCATCCGAGCGAGAATCGCCTGCTCCTGTTGCTTTGGGAACTGTGGGAGAAGGGGATGCACTGGGCGCAGTGAGGACACCAGCYCCACAGCACAGCCCCCTCCTCCTCCTCCTCCTCCTCCTCTTTGGGTTTCCACCCACCTTCTCCCAGTACCCAGAGCCAGCAGACTGTGCCCCACACACCCCAAAGCCACCCCCAGGTGTCCCTTTGCTCTGCAGCCATCGGGCACTGCCAGAGTGGGCTGCATCAATGGAGCTCTGGGCTGAGCAGGCACAGGCAGAGCAACACATCCGGCTGCCCAGGGGAGGGGGTGGGCAGGGGACAGCCCCRTCTCCACAGTATCTATTCACACTCTGACATTTATTTTGGCTCCTTTACTCCCTCTGTTCATCAACTGATGCTCGTTGTCATGGCAATGCCGAGCCACCTGACACACAACTTCAGCCTCCAAACACACACCACAACAAGGCTGCAATCCCAAAAAGCCTCCTCTGACCTCCAAGATGCTCCCCAAGGAGGGAATCCTGCCCCTTGAGCTGCGGCTGGAAATGGCTCCAGGGATGGATGAGGCAGCTGCTCGGGGTCCTGGCTGAGGATTCACTACCCAAAGCAGCTGGCCCACATGTCACCTACTCAGCCACCAGGTCCCCATCCCATGGTGACAGCAGATGCAACTCCATGAGTTCCTCTCYCTTCCCTGGCTGAAGGACACTGGGATGGTGCCTCACTGGGACACGCTCTGGCTCAGGCACCAGCTTGCTCTGGGCACTCCCAGCCCCTGCTAATGCCTCAGTTGGGTGCACCTTCCAGCACCCGGCGTGCATCCAGAGCTGGGCACAGCCCTGGGCACAGCACCATCATGGCTCGTGCTCTGTGGACAGGCTGGACTGGGGGCTGCTGCCTCACCCCATGCACCCATCCTGGTGCTGCCAGTGCCTGGGCTCCTCTCCTGGCTGGGAGCTGCTGATTCCAGCACATCCCAACCTGTTCCTGAGCCCTTTCCCCGCCACTGGCCGTGCCTGTGCTGTGGATCCGTGCAGGGAGCTTGAGTCACACCCCCAGGTTTGATTCATCTGCGGCCGGGCGAGCGCCAGCGCAGGCGGTGCTGCCGCCGGTACCCACTCCTCGCTCGGCTGTCTCGGTGGTGGATCTCAGTAATTTCCTCTCCCTATTAGTATGAATCCCAATTAGCCAACTTGGCTTATTGCCACGCTTCCCTGCCGGAGCCCAGGACAGCAGCAGCTGGCTCTGCGCAGTCGGGCTGTGCTGGGAGTCCCAATTGTCCGGCTCTGAGCCCCTGAATCCACCCCAGCCCCGGCCAGGACAGAGGAGCCGGACCTGCTCATCCCCACCTTCAGCAGGAGGGGTCAGCGTGAGCGGTCCCAGCTCTGCCACCACTCGGTGCCATCCTGAGCAGYTGCTGGCCAGGAGCGGGGTGCGTCCACCCGCGTTCTGCCCCAGCCTCACCCAGCTGCGGGTCAAACTCTCCATGGAACGGTCTCACATTAATCCAGGGAWTCCCTGTCCAGCTGGGACACCTTCCAGGGCTTTTTGTACGTGTCAGCAAGGGGGCCGTGAGGTGCCTTCACGGTGTCTCCTGCGGCGAGCCCTGCCTTTGGGTGACRCCGGATTTCATTTGGAAGCGGTGAACTCGTACTTCACGCTCCGCAGTCGCAGGTTCGTACGGGCATCCCTCGCCTCGCCTCCCCTCCCCTCCCCGCCCGCAGGGCTGCTCGCATCCCGCGCTCCGCGTGATGCTTCGATCGCTGCCATCCCCGGCGGCTCCGAGCCTCGCCAGCCGCACGCCGGACGCTGTGAGTGCCCCCGGAGCCCTCCCTCTCCCCGGGGCGGAGGGCAGCGTTCGTGCTTTCCCTGCTCTCTGCTCGCTCGGGGCTCGCTGGACGCGCTCAGCTCCTGCCACCGCAGTTATCGGCACATGCAGAGGCAATTAATTGATTTGATCTCAGGTTGTTTTCCTCTCAGAGCCCTTTTCCCCGGGGAGGGCTGGGGGGACGGGGAGGGGCTTGTGAGGGAAATACGGTTGCAGTGGTGAAAATACAGCCAAGAATATCGATCCCAGCCCGGCCAGCCAGAAGACTAAAGAGCTCCACTTTTGGTGTTAAAATCTCATTACTTTTCCTCTGGTGGAACAGTTTTCCAGGGACCATTCTGGGTGTTACTGGTGTGTGCAAAGGAGGACTCAGGCTGAGGAGGATGAGCTGAGACCTCTCATAAATGGGAACAAAATTCCTTGCTCTCCTCATACTGGCTCAGCCAGGAGTCAAGGTCACATCCCAGCTCTCAGCTCCCCACTCCTCCCCATAAATCCAAGCGAGTTATCTCCCGGGTTGTGGTTTCCAGTAATGGCCTTCCTAAAGACACTGTGTTACACACCATCTGAAGGAAGTGGTGGGTCCAAATTAATATTTTGGAGAACCAGAGGTCAGAGCTGAGCCAGGAAGGGCTGGGTTAGGAAGGAGCCTGCGGCACATCCCCAGCGATGCACAGGCTCTGCATTCCCTGAGTAACGAGAGCAAGATACCTAAATATCTCCGAGGAATTAAAACTTCAGGGCTCATCTTTTTTTACCTCCCACCCACCTCCCAGATGCTTGGAGAGATGGAAAGAAATTCATCCGTATTCCTTCCCTTCTCCAGCTCCAGGCTCTGCAAGGGATCCTGAGGCTCTTTGCACAAGGTCCCTGGTGTGAGATTGCAGAGCTGCAGGGTTTTGGGTCTGTGTTAGCCATGACCAGCGCCCAGTGGCCAGCGCACAGGGCTCAGCAGGTGGCACTGAGCAGCTCCTGTGCCCCTGGGAAAGGCTGTGTGGGTTCCAGCCATCCCCAGCACCTTACTTGCCTTCTGCATTGCCGAATTTTCAACACAGTCTAGGTTCAAAGACACACAGCAGTTTAGGAGAGCTTTAGAGAAGGCCAGTGGGGTGGCTTCTCCAAACCACAGTTTGGAGTAACCCAGCTGGAATTGCAGCTTGAGCTGAGGACAAGGGGTGTTCTGCACCAGGGCAGGGAAGCCTTGGGGAGCTCCCACYGAGTGACTCCTCAGACCGTTACTGTCACCGCCTCCACACATTCATCTGTTGGCCCCAACTCCACTGTGGAGAGGCTGAATTCAAGCAAAACCCCCAGTCCTGCACTGGTGTGGGGATGGGTGCTGGGCTCCTCATCACCTRGCAGTGGGAGGAATCCTCCTCCTCCCCAGGACTGAGCTCTCCTGCAGCACATCCCCATCGCCCAGCAGCCCCACACCAGCTTCCCCCGGCGGCACCGGTGTAATCTTGCTCCGTCTCCATTTCACACCCTCTCCCCCTCTCTGCGGTGGTGGCTTGTGGCTGAGCAGAGGCACCTACACAGATATGCCTGTTCCAAAGGACTTTTTTCCTGTTTTTACACATAAAAAATCCCCCCACCAGTGGAAAAAACCCAAGTCAGATGAAAGGAATGCAGGCGCTCGGAGGCGGCAGAGGTGGCCGCGCTGTGCCGGCCGAGCGGAGGGCAGCGCGGGCACACAGCTGAACACACACACGGCACAGGGGGACCCCAACCGAGCCCCCTGCACCCCACCAGCTCGGCGGGGTGCGGGGAGCAGGGGATGCCCATCACGGGGGACACGGCGGGCACAGCTTGGCACTCACACCACGGGTGGGYTGGGAGCTCCTGCCAGCGCCAGCCCGCGAGGTGCCAGCGATCGGCGCGTGGCGCAGGGACTTCACTCCCTCAGCGGTGTTAAAAGGGAAAAAAAAAAGAAAAAAAAAATCTACATTTTGACAGTGACTCATCATCTCCCATTCTGGAATCTGTGGGGTTGGAGCAACCTACACAAGGCAGTTCAGAAAAGCAAAACAATTCTGAATAATAGAGGAGGAAAAAAAAGTTTGCARCTGATGGGTAATTTCCAGCCCTGTGCTCTGAGGGTTTTCTCATTAGAAAAGTAATCAGGTAACACTCTGGAGCTGCTTCCAGGGGCTCCCCCCACGCTYCCCTGAGCTTCCTTCCTCCCTGCATCCTTCCGGCCTTCCTCCCTCTGTCCTTCCACATTGCTGGAGCTCATGGCAGGAAAGCACCACACTCCTGGGAAGGTGCTGGGATGGGGTGGGAAGGTGCAGGGGCTGTGGTGAGTGCAGAGGTTCTGGGTGGCCCCTCCTCTGCTGTCCCCTCATGCCAGCCAGGACCCTGCTGTCCCCTCCATGGCACATGGCAATGGGCAGCAGCTGCTGATGCCAGGCACCCTCAGATCGTGCTGGGGAGGAGAGCACTCATCAGCACGTCTTAGGAAATCATTTCATGTTTTATCTTTAACAGTGAATAAACATTGATTTTTATTTTAAAAGGTAATTGACATTCCTATGAGGGCGCAATGAGTGCTGGAGCAGCCGGAATCGGCGTAAATAAGCCATGTGCTAGAAATTAATGAGCTTCACTGATTGAGTTTATCTGTTTAAATTAATACAATTCTGGCAATTATAGAAAAATAATGATCTTTGGTTTGTTTGCTGCTTGGAGACACTGATGGCAAGAGATGGGGCAGGGCGGGAGGCATCCCAGTGCCCGAGGCGCCGGGGCCTCTCT